ATTACACCACGCACGTGATGCATCCATTACAGATGCACTCGGTGACAGGCTAAACACAGCTTGCCTTGTCACATTAATGGAAGGCCTGTCGAGATTAAATGCATACGTTTGTATTAATGATACGTACATGAGATGCTAGTTGATAGTAGATCGGTGGACTGGTAGCTTAACATCAGTTTTGTTGCCTAAATTAGGGTTATATGTCATTCAAACGCCTTTACAGATTAAACCTTAGTGTAAGATAACTTTGGTAATGTTAAGTTGTAGCCGTCAAGTCGTTCAAGAATCCAGCCCACATTCTTATACAACCAACGTAGCAGCCTAATTGAGGTCCTACTATTTGCACCTGTCATCCAGCACTTCGGTATGACATCGAATACAATATCGGAAGTGAAGCGTAAATGTAAGTCAAAGATATGCGCACATGTCGGCATGCATACTCGTCAATACTAATAAAGCCTATGGCACAAAAAACGGCCAAAGCCTAGACCAAACTTGTAGAGTACTGTGAGGAGACTTGCGTGTTATCAAAAGAGATATATTAATGAGAAAATGGTTATTTGCGCGCATGTAACCTTACAGTAGAGCTTTGATAAATTAGACCATAACTTCTGACATGTATTCAGGATGTCATATATTATTTGTCTAACATCCTGAGAGCACATAATAGGTGGCGCAGCATCGTAGTAGTATCGTTAAGCAATTCCTCTCATTTCTCGCGAACTTCGCTGTCGAGAGGGCGCACCAGCGTAATTTGGACCTAAACCGTTTTTAAAAAGGTTTTACAAGAATTGTGACGCGCCAGTATCATGTACATATTCAGCAACATTCCTTACATTTCAGCGCAAATCAAGTATCTTACACGCGACCATTGCGAAAACTTCGTGCATATCGGGTTATCATGCGCTGCATAAAAACACGCATTCGATCATGTAGTGTAGGTGATTTCGAGATGACGATTTTATTGTTAATCAGCCATTTATTCAGCATAAGTGATGACATGGTCGGTGCTATCAACGTCGAATACTTTGTACAAGACGTGAAATATCGATCAACACCTGTATCTGAAGACTGAAACAAAAATGTGATGCATGATGTTACGATATAGTTCTAGTTAATTGAAGTTTGTGTTGTTGTATTTAATAACGTGGCATTTTGTGCCATATGATAAGCATTTTTTGCGATACGTAAGAAATAGGCGTAACATTAAAGGTGTATGTTACTGCAAAAAATAATTTGCAAACTCTTGCCTTTTGGGTATGCGACACGAATGTACTCCGCGTAGAATTTATAGTACTACTCTAGCTTCCGATTCGCCTTGTGCGAACTCCAGAAAATAGTTCTTCGCTCTTTCTGTTCACCAGCGAGTGGGTCATCATCGTCGCTGGAACAGCCGTTGGCAATGCTGAAAATTATAGCATCGATATCATCATCTGACTCAAAAATAGCGTCATAGCTATTATTGAGATGATCTACTTCTTCGATGTCGACCTGATCGACATCGGCATCATACGTGATGACGTTAGCGTCGACTCGTGATAAGCAATGACCAGAACGGTTTTTGTTTAAGCGATTCCCTCCCCGCTTATTTAAGAGTTAAACTTTAAGATTGTAGAATTACGTGAATGACGTAAGGCTTTCACGAAGAACGGTGTATGCTGTGTCGAGATATGCGCCGATTTATTGATGGCGAATTCCACCAGAGGAAGTAAATCGCTTCAACTCGAGAACGAGTCGACGTATCTTCAAGGGAAATTATTAGTACACAATTTACACGTTCTGTACGACCATTGGTTTCGGGATGGTCAGATTTTGACATCGTTAAACGTGCTCTAAGCAATCGTAACAAGGATTTTCAGAACTCCGATGTGAGCCGTAGGTCACGGTCGGATATGAGTTCACGGGGTAACCCGTGGAGTCTAAATATTGTGTCGATAAAGACACAAGCATAGCCATATTCCGTGATCGACTCGGGTACTGCATAAAGATACACCATCATGCTCAACATTCCAATGAATACAAGAATATCATTATTCTTGTGGTCGCCTTTGAGAAAACCGAAATTAAAGTCCATGGATATGGACTTCCAGCACTCTGCCGGAACAGGTAGAGGCTGTAAGGGTTCACAAGAAGAAGTACTGGGCTTTCTATGTTAACAAGTTTTTTTTTAAAGCACGAATGTACTTGCGCAAAAACTGATACTGGCGGGGCCAGTAAACGTCACGACTTACCGTAAGCTAGGTCTTTTTCGTACCATGATGGCCACCTGTTGGGGAATTGTGACACGCATAAATGATGACTAAGCGCAAGTTGTTATGCGCGAGGACGACGACACGAGGCGTGTAGTCAGCAACGGCTGTATAGTACGCTAACCCGTTGCGAGTTCTGTACCGATCCGATGAGAAACGGTACAAAGCCTATATACCTTTCAACGATTTACGAGTTGGAATCACCAGATGATCCATCAAGTGCAGTAGATCCTTATCTTAGGCGTAGAACTTTCTTACGTCTTCAAGTAAATTTGACGACGGAACACGGACTGTAAGTGTCGCAACAGTAAGCTTCTCCCCACTATTGACTGGTGTAGTCGGCTTGAAATCGGGCCGACCTGATATCGCAGCAGCGACAACGTTCAGTCGTCCTGGTGTGTACTCCACGGAGAAGTTATACTTCGCGAATAAAGTCAACCACCTCTCCATTCGCTGCGAGAGGTGAGGACTGTTTACGGTCGTGCGTAGTGACGCATGGTCCGTATAGACAATGAACGGTCTATCTGCCAAGAGATAGACGCGAAACGTAGTCAGTGGATATTTCATGGCAAGTTCCTTGTCACGCACTGGGTAGTTGCGTTCTGCTGGTTGCAGCTGACGAGATTGATTGCAGACGCCGCGCTTCGCGCCGTCTTGGCCGTATTTCATCAACGCGCAGCTGATCCCAAATTCGCTGGCGTCACACGCCACATGAATTGGATTGTCCGGATCTGAAATCGCCAGAATGGGAGATTGCATCAAGCTGTTCTTGATACCTTCAAATAAACGCTGAAAGTCAGCGTTCCATGACAACTTCACATTTTTTGAGTAAACACGAAATATGCACAGTTATCTCGGCGTCGTTGCGCGAATTCCAAGTACGCCGCTAGCCCAAGGAACTTGCGAAGTCCCTTGACATCGACTAGCACAGATCAGTAGGTGATCTATCGATCTTCTCGGGATTAGGACGTACGCCGTGTTACCCACGATGCAATCAAGAAGTGATATTTCGCTAGCCGCGAATATGCACTTCTTTAGGTTGGCGTACAACTTATGCGCAAGCATAGATTGAAATAACCTGACGAAAGTGTATTCTATGAACTTCCACGTCCGTCTTCCCGTCCCTAGCTCGGCTATCAACGAACAAATCGTCAAAGTAACTCGGTGTGAATTCTTAAAACTATCTCAACAGCTTTTTAACACATCTTTTGAAGGTGTCAGGGGTATTACTCCGTTCGTGCGGCATCATTATCCACCCTCACATCATACCGATGGGGTGCTCACTGCTGTGTACAAGATATCCCGATCACGCACAAGAATCTGATCGAAGCCATTCATAAGATCCATGGACGAGAAGGGTGGTAATTTTTGACATTGCCGGTAGGGTAACGTCCTTATCCGGTATCGGCGTCTTAGCCGTTACCGTTGCACCATTCAACTTGATAAATGCGTGCACTATCCGCCATCCTTCTGTGACCTTTCGCACACATTAGGTAGGAGAGCTGTGGGGGAAGTTGATTCCCTCACATGGCCCGCTGCAAAGCGATCGACAAAAAATTTGTCGATCGCTAGTACTTGTTAACAAAACAGTGAATACTGCCGAAGGACACAAAAATTCGAGCCCACTTTAAGCTCGATCTCGTGTCGTGTGACTTTATCCTTGGGAAACACTCAAATCAAGGCTGCAGGGATAACATACTTGAATTTAATCAAATCGTTGTATAAAATTGTTGCCTATAGCGACTCCCAGGAGTGAGACGTGTATCGTCCAACCCGAGTCTTCATCGAGGAAACTTTCGTTCATCGTTGATCTGCTGGGAATTAGTTCATGCTCAGCAAATACTGCTACCGACCGAATATCCAACATATACTCATCCTCTGTGACGATAATGCAGACCTACTTAACTTTTCCACTACGCAGATCCTACAAAAACCTTTTCGATTCCAGCGTTGGAAATTAAGATGTCTCCAAAGTTAACTTCGGATGCACAATTAGATAAAGCGTAAAAGCGCCTAAGCTTATTCCATTAATTACTAAGACGTTCAACGTCTCGATTTCTTCTATAGAACGTGTTTTTTACACGATGATATGTGCTTGTCCGCTCAGATTGCTAAGAGACTAATCCTTCAGCAAGTAATTCTTGAGGAAATTCTTCCTCAAGTTCGTGGGGACTTATTCCCTCGGCATTCTCAAACTGTGGCTGTGAAACCACAGTCAGGCACCAATCCTATTCGGTCGACTCTCCAGTCGACCTAGGATAACCGCGGCTTCGTTTTTAAACAACCAATTTGTTCTTACTAGGATGTTGCAAACTCAGCATGCATACATGTCCCGATCCACTCGACTCATTCGAGTTATGGACCTACGGCGCTATCTATAATTCTATACAGCCGCCATGCTTGCTCCATAGTGTAGTGGTCAGATACGCTGAGGTCTTGTGCAGTTGCAATAACGACCGTCAGGTAGTAAAGCCTTCGCACACACTCTCAGTACATCCACACGCTAGTAGACGCTACAAGACATTCATTAAATGCCCATTAGATGAACAAGCGGCAGGCACTCTCACGGATCGATGCTGCCAGCTCACCCTTGGCTAGTATCTTCTGAGCCAGGGTAATCCTAGGATGACATCATATTATAATTCAGATCCGGTACGATGAAGTCATCGTCCTACTGTTCGTCTTTTAACGTTTATTGGATTCCTACTACACGTATCTTAACTATTGTAGATTTTCTCATCCTTCGTGCTGTTACTCCATCTCTCCATCTTTCTCTGCGATCGTGTCTCTCTTCCGCGACACCACCCAGCTCACCTTCCACGCCGGGTTGATGCGTTCTTCCCCCCTGATGTTCTTCAGAACATGGCATGGTATTTACCTGAATGGAGACCGTCGACGTCGCCAGCCCGATGAGATCCGCGATCGAGGTCACCTTCAGATTGAACCAAAACAAAAGTTCGAAGAGCGCCATAAACTTCCGCTTGGTCATTGTTCCGTCGCGACGCTCTTCAGGCGCGTCAAGAGGAGGCCAAACCCAGTGAGCAGGGAGGGTATCCATACTGGCGCGCCAGAGTGAGATGAAGAGAAACTCGTCGTCCGGCACCGGATTGCCATACGCCTGGTGGAGCTTGGCACGGTACTTGTTGACCAGCTTCTGCTTTTTCGTTAAAGGAACATTTTATCTTGGCTGCAGCGATGCTGGCGGCTGTGACGTTAATGGCACTGGCGGCTTTGCGCTTCTTCGTTGTAGTTGGCGGTTTCGGTTTGGCGGCCGTGTCGTTGGCGATTGTGGCGTTGGAGTTGGCGGCTTGCTTTTTGGTGGAGCGTGTGACTCGCGCTGGAGCTAATGCTTTTTCGTTGGTGGTGCTGGCCGCCGTGGCATTGATGCTGGTGTTGGTATCGACGGGTGATTCTGAAGTTGATGGCGGAGACGAGCGCACAATGTACCTCCCGGGTAAGGAATCGACGACAATTTTGCAAGCTGGTGGCGTTTGAGCTGGTCGTGCTGCGGCGATGTCGGCTTCGGCGGCTTCGGCGGCTTCTTCGTTGACGTCTGTGGTGTTGGTAGCGTTGTTGACTTTCTCTTCAACGGCTTCCTCTGCATCGGCTTCCTCTGCATCGGCTTCCTCTGCGGCGCTCGCGGCTTCATCATCGGTGGTGTTGGTGTTGGTGGTGTCGGCTGACATGAGAAGCCTATGACGTTCGAGCACGATCTCCTGTGATGTGTCTACGTCGTCACCGTCGACCTCTTCCTGGTTGTCGTCTTCGGTGACCTCTTCCGTGTCCCCGTCGGAGTCGTTGCCACCCAAGTGTTTGCGGGCGGCTTGCTTCGTGGCGGCTATCTTTCCTTTCGGCTTTTTTAAGATGGCTTTGCTGATCATATATACGGCTTGTATGCGTTCCATGGCAGCATGAGCTTCATCATAGACGTTGGGATTCTTTTGCCACTCGGCATACTTGGGGAGAAAGGTTGTTTTGCTCATCCCAACCGTCCGTCCCTTCATCATCTGCGATGTGCCTTCTTTCTCCATCGCCTTGACCATTTGCCACATCTTTTCTTCTTCATCTGTAGACACTCGTGGAGCACCCGGACGAAAGAATCGCTTCTTTGTGATGCTTTGTTCTACTTGCTCCCCCCAAAGTTCTAAAGCTGCCGTCGCTGCGCTAAAGTTGTCGTCGATAGTGGCGCGTCTTCACCGAGCATTGTATAAACGGCTTGAAAATGTCGGCGAAGCGCGTTCACAGTGAATGCGGGTTTGTAGATTAGCTGCGCTAGATCGTCAGGATCAAACTGGAATGCTTGTGGACAATAAGGCGCAGAAGCGCGACGGACTCCGATTGGTAAGCGCTTTGCTTATCAGTGCCCTGCATATTGACTCTGACGGTTAAAAATTATAAACAATCGAAAACCACAAATTAATATACAAGACGTAAGATGCGACAGATTCAATTAATTTGATTAGTGTTATAATATAGACAACATATATGACTATATCTTTCCAATTATATCATATAAGCACATGGAAGACCAAACAATTTAAATGTTTGTAGGTCAAAAAACACAAGAGAAAATTATGGTATTGACATTTCTATTGATAATTTATATTTATAAGATATATCAATATTTATACAAACCTATACGAATAAAAAATACATTAAAGTAATAAAACATTGATGAAATCTTTCAAAAATAATTTGGATTATTTCAATAAAAATTTCTAAAATAAATTAGATATTCTGAAATATTTTAATTGTTGATTTTTATTCGCGATTGAGCTAACAAATTAAACTTTATACGAAAAGTATTATCGCAAGATTAAATAATAAATGAATTGTAGTTTAATATATATAAAGAAAAATATGATACCACATACAACTAAACAATTCCTACGATTCTAAATGTTTTTCTCAAAAAAAAGTTGAACCCATTGCAGGTACTCATCATTATATCCTCATTTTGATTCAGCTACATAACAAATGATATAAGATAATCTAAAAAAATGACAATATCAGGCTGCAGGGTAAATATAAAAATAGATGCTTCATGAAAAATCGCCACCATCGACGACAACTTTAGCGCAGCGGCGGCAGCTTTAGAACTTTGGGGGGAGCAAGTAGAACAAAGCATCACAAAGAAGCGATTCTTTCGTCCGGGTGCTCCACGAGTGTCTACAGATGAAGAAGAAAAGATGTGGCAAATGGTCAAGGCGATGGAGAAAGAAGGCACATCGCAGATGATGAAGGGACGGACGGTTGGGATGAGCAAAACAACCTTTCTCCCCAAGTATGCCGAGTGGCAAAAGAATCCCAACGTCTATGATGAAGCTCATGCTGCCATGGAACGCATACAAGCCGTATATATGATCAGCAAAGCCATCTTAAAAAAGCCGAAAGGAAAGATAGCCGCCACGAAGCAAGCCGCCCGCAAACACTTGGGTGGCAACGACTCCGACGGGGACACGGAAGAGGTCACCGAAGACGAAAACCAGGAAGAGGTCGACGGTGACGACGTAGACACATCACAGGAGATCGTGCTCGAACGTCATAGGCTTCTCATGTCAGCCGACACCACCAACACCAACACCACCGATGATGAAGCCGCGAGCGCCGCAGAGGAAGCCGATGCAGAGGAAGCCGATGCAGAGGAAGCCGTTGAAGAGAAAGTCAACAACGCTACCAACACCACAGACGTCAACGAAGAAGCCGCCGAAGCCGCCGAAGCCGACATCGCCGCAGCACGACCAGCTCAAACGCCACCAGCTTGCAAAATTGTCGTCGATTCCTTACCCGGGAGGTACATTGTGCGCTCGTCTCCGCCATCAACTTCAGAATCACCCGTCGATACCAACACCAGCATCAATGCCACGGCGGCCAGCACCACCAACGAAAAAGCATTAGCTCCAGCGCGAGTCACACGCTCCACCAAAAAGCAAGCCGCCAACTCCAACGCCACAATCGCCAACGACACGGCCGCCAAACCGAAACCGCCAACTACAACGAAGAAGCGCAAAGCCGCCAGTGCCATTAACGTCACAGCCGCCAGCATCGCTGCAGCCAAGATAAAATGTTCCTTTAACGAAAAAGCAGAAGCTGGTCAACAAGTACCGTGCCAAGCTCCACCAGGCGTATGGCAATCCGGTGCCGGACGACGAGTTTCTCTTCATCTCACTCTGGCGCGCCAGTATGGATACCCTCCCTGCTCACTGGGTTTGGCCTCCTCTTGACGCGCCTGAAGAGCGTCGCGACGGAACAATGACCAAGCGGAAGTTTATGGCGCTCTTCGAACTTTTGTTTTGGTTCAATCTGAAGGTGACCTCGATCGCGGATCTCATCGGGCTGGCGACGTCGACGGTCTCCATTCAGGTAAATACCATGCCATGTTCTGAAGAACATCAGGGGGGAAGAACGCATCAACCCGGCGTGGAAGGTGAGCTGGGTGGTGTCGCGGAAGAGAGACACGATCTCAGAGAAAGATGGAGAGATGGAGAAATAGTTTGAAGGAGGGAAAGATGATATCAATGAAAATATTTATTGATTTACAGTCATCTTCATCGTATATTCATGGCTTCTCTTCATATATTTTCTCTACATATTGTGAGCTGTGGGTAGAGGCGTGCTTGCAGATTCGAGGCTGCGTTCAGCTATTCTTTGCGTTTTAAAAGAGCTTCAAAGTACTGGATTCCTTTGTTGATGATTATCCGGAACGTTCGTGTGTGCAGCTGGTGCCGTAAACCTAGTATAAGACACGCGCGAAGAAGACCGGCCGCTCCGGTGTCTGGTACCTGCATAGTAACCGTCAAGGTCGATATCCAGGGCAAAGATGAGAAACACGCTTACCAATCGGAGCTCCCGGGCGACAGGATACGAGAGGGTTCTGTTTTGGCAAAATTTAAAACAGGACGACGCAAGTCAATGCCGTTTCATGACTCTATAAATCGGAACTAGTCTTTGCACGCGCTTAGAGTCGCCGTCGTCTTCGTTCTAAGAACACAGAATCACATCCGGAGACAGTTTAATTATCACAATCGCAGTCAGCGGAGCGTGCAAGAAGGTATTTGTGATCCAGTCGAACCGTTGGGCTATACTCTCCTTTTTAGAGCATTGGCGAATCAATCGGGCTCGCGTGATCGACAATATTGCGCGAATCTCACCGGCAAGACCACTGATACCGTCCACCATGCAATTGAATCCGTCTATAATGCGGTTGAATCTTTCGTCGTCGCGCCTTCGATCTTCGCTGTGCACTCGGGCGGTGGCTTGAGTGGCGGCTTGAGCAGCGACGATGTACATCGCGAGGATCTGGTTATCATCGGCGGGCTTCTGCGTCTTGTCTTTCCGGTCATCCACCCCGGCGCGGAGTCGAGAGAGTTCTTCTTCCATGGTCATGATAGCGCGGTGTTGTTGAGTCTAAATCCTACTTTCTCCAAATTATAATATTATTAGTTTGCAATTGATTTAAATAAATACAATTCAACTAAATCAAATATGTATCTTTAAAGAAAATGTTTTCAATTCTCCATACAAAGACAGTCGTTTATGCGACAATTGGTATGTTCTTAGGCATTAAAAAGCAATATTTGCTGGACAATTAGAATGATATTAAAGTCTAAAAATGAAGGGTTATTTTTTACATTTTCTCAAAACTTTATATATATATTTTTTGAACGTTTAATATATATTTTTACCCTTTTATACATCAACATAATTGACAGCCCTACATTTTGGTTATCAACCTTATCATTCTTATATTATCAAAAAAATTATAAATACCTTGAAGGTGGAAGTAACAAAAAATCTTCTGTTACTTTCAACTACAAGGTGATGAGGGACACCTCCTCACTAGGTGCAGATACACACAATGATTGTGTGTCTTGAGCAACTATCATCAAGAGATTTGCAAATTCTCTTGAGGTTGCTGGATCAGTAGGGCGCTTCGCCCCTACTGACTCCAATTTTTTCTGATGGTCGGCTTCGCTGTTGTGGTTTCGCAACAGCGTTGGATCTACGCCCATTGCCCTTTCTGGCAAATGGTCGTTCATTTCGCTCAGTACTGTTTGGTACTGGGCGTGAAGAACTACACTCGTAAGCTTAGTATCCTAACTTCTGGCAGAGATTGCACTTCTGCAATCGCTTGTTGTTCGAAGAGAGAGTTCTGTCACTCTCAACATAACTGAGGTCCATGGGTTCTGGACTTCAGTCCCTAGTCGTCTCGATGGACGATAACATCTCGAGCTAGCATGTGCCTGTCTCATGCTTAAGTCCTCCTGTTTTGCAGCTGAATTAGATTCTTCAAGCGTACCTAAATCTAAGTGCTACCAAGTGTAACAGGGCACGCTCCTGCCAGATGACAGGCAAGTCTTTAAGTTGACCGGACACAAGTCTGCGTGCTTCTGACGTCACTTACACGTGGCGAAGAAGCGCAAACGAAGCAAACAGAACCCGAAAGCCCTATCTGAGGAAAAAGTGTAATTGAAAAATTGTAGTTTTGTTTATTTGTAAATTATCTTTCGTCGTGATCTAACTGTATTAATCTACCATTTCATATGTAGGTCACTTGCTCACCACCCATTTCGCGCGTCCAGAAGCGATTGGTGGTTAATTTGGTTGATGTGGTCCACATCAACTAAATATTGCATCACCCAAGAATATTACTCTGGGGATTATATCCGCCAACATCACATCATCTTGAGTGGTGTTGATTGAGTATAATATACATAGATTAATCTGAAAAATATGTGCATTCGTTTCTATTTTTAAGTAACGGGCTTACCCTGTTTCCCTTGAGTGGTTCTCCTTTATACCTCCTTCGTACTTACAAATACTTAGTGGGATGCACAATTCATTATCTCGCTCTCTCGTAGAGTCTTATTCGCCGACTTCGATGTGTTCAGGCCTCTCTCGTCGGGTTCACCACCCCTATGCTCAAGTTAAAAGCATTGAATAGAACGTTTGAAAACAATTCTACACGCACACTATTCTTGATCTTTTCGACGGGAAGATGATACATATGCCTATTTATCAATCGTGAGACTTACTAACCAGATCAACATGTATCTCAACGCTTTACCGACGCTTTACCAAGATAATAAGTGAGTTAGAGCAGGCACTTGGCTCACCAAATTTTCGTGCACTTCCTCTATATCACCAGCTAATTCACGACCAACATCCGTCACTTTGCCCATATCCAATTTTATTACATTTGTTGCTGCTTAAATAGTTACTTACAATGTTGAAGTGGCAATCGTTGTATCGCCATTGCGCAAGACGTCACGTTAAAATTTCGAAGCGACACTCGGTCGTTGCACGAAACGCCATATTTTTTAAAAAAACTGATTGTATTTGAGTACTTATCGATAATCGGCTTGAATATGATATCCGAAAGAATTTTCTTGGTGCATTAAAACGAACTTAAATTAGTGATTGGACGTCGCCAAGCTTCTCAATCACGAAGGGACAGTGAATTCAATTTTGATTGATGCACATGTGGATCTCAATTAAATTGATGCACTTGTAAAAATCGAAATTTTGGCAAATGTAAGCGTGTCTTGCTTTTTTCGTAGACCGTCACAACGATATCGTTTGTAGTTAGTCTAAAAATATGTACAGACGTCTATATACATAGAGCTTCTTATCTAGATACATTTAATTAAATAGAGTATATCATAATGATAGGATCACAGATCGTTGATTCTGGCTTGGCCATATGATGCATCCACCTGTAAGCACAACTACAAGCCGTTTTTGCTTCTTCTTATTGTATGTTTGGTTTTAGGACCGGTAGAAGCATTCGGCGTATGTTGCAGCGAACACCTACCGTTTTCTTCATTGAAAGCGTAAATATCTCTCACCGGTTAGCTGGCTACGTTTGCGTGCGTCCTAGCGAATGATTGTTATTCAGTCTTACACGACAGGCGCATCATTACTCGATTATAGTATCTGACAAAGACATGACGTTAGAAAACCCCGTCATTTATGCTTCTTACATAACTATGTTGCCTGCCCAGCCAGCAACAGAGTATAATTACTTGCCGTCTTCAGATACAAAGTAAGTAGACGCATATTTAAAACTATTGTGTTGGTATAATCAGATGAATGAGAACTTGTGAGTGGGTCGAAATTAATTCTGCAGGTAACTTGAATTGTGCCGTAATGGGGTGAGCCTGTTACATGCCATTAAAACGAATATTATTAATATATATACGACCTGAAAAATAATATTATAAAATATTACCTTAGTCGTCATATAAGATACCACTTCACCATAGGTTGATATAAGCCATTTGATCAACCGAATAAAGCACCAATATCTGCTGGACGCGCGCAATATGTGTGAGTGGGATTCTGGATTGTAAATTGTAGTATACGAGAGATTAAGTAAGATGAAGCCGCTCTATTTATGAGGATCAACATTAAAAAAAGCATGTATAATCGCTTCCTCTCTTTCTATAGTTTCTTGCTTAGGTATATATATTGCTCTGTACGTTCCATGTACGAAAAATTAAAATTCCACAACTCCTGACTTGTATCGGTACAAGGGCTTATCATTAATAGCCTCATTATAGCTGAGGGTACTATAAGTCCCGTTTAACGACCATGATCATCTCGTACGACAAGAGCATGCTGGAAAATGAAGGGTAAAGCTTTCACACCACGCGTATTGACACGTGTGCGTTGACTCGAAGTTTTATCGGGTGACAAATCAAATTACAAAAAGTATAAGAAGACACTTTACTTAGGTGGTTAACTAACTGGGCGACGCCATTAAGGCTCTTTGTATCGTCGACGACACCATGCAAGTCGCATTAGCGCAATCTATCCTATCTGATCGAGTCAAGGCGTAGGCACCGTGCTCAAACAAAAACGACATATTTGCAATTGAGTCGTTCGGGGTCTTCAAAAACGATATAGAAAGACGCTCGAGCCGTCACGAGTTAAAATCTCGTGCTGAGTTTTAAACTCAGACATGATAAAATGAATGTGCGAGCTTGCGCGCAGCACACTTGATCTGTATCGAGTTGCAATTCTTACGAACCAACTGATGAACACACTTATGTATTGTGTTTATCTATAAACTTGCAGAGGGTCGTGTCATGACCCACCTGTTACGCCCTGTACTAAATTACTAAACAATTAATCTCTGTCGCAAAACAGGAAGTCTTTACTTTGAAATAGGCGTCAATTATAATGTATACCCTCGTCTCTCTATACGTCGCAAAACAGAAATTCTGAAAATATAAAAAAAATTGTTACGTAGAGACCGAGCGTACCCGTTCTGCAGGATACAAACTATTTTATAAATACAATCTCATTAAGAGACAAGGCACTTAGCCTATAAAAATAGTGCCCCGAACCCATTCGTTTGTACTATTGTACGTGAAGGCCTCCCGTCAGTTAAAAATGGTCTTAAAGCACGGGTCCGATGTTGTCGCAACTTTGCAACAACAAGGAAGACAGAGAAAACGGTTGAGGTGAGTTATGGTAGATTGAATTGATGAAACAGGAATGTCAAGATGATTGGCAATTATCGTGAAGGAAGTTACGCCCAACACATAGTAAATGTGTGATGCCACTCCTACCGATGAGGTATCACCCATCATCTAATTGATATATTTGAATAAACGTGTAGCTCTGAAGCGCTAGTTTAATTATTTAAGCGTTATATTATTATTTAATAGTTGCCTGTCTCTATAGATTTAACGGCTTATGTACATTTAGCGCGGGAATCATCTCACGATAATGACCGTGCTCCTTGCAGCAGAAGCATTTGTATTAGTAAAGAAACATACAGTGGGGATCCACTAAAAGTCGATCGAAGAAGATGAGCAGCATGATTGTAAATTAACTGTACTATATTTGGATGACAAATTCGACGTCATCCTTCGTCTACGATGGCTAAGAAAATACGAGCCATGGATTATCTTTCAGCATCTATCCATAGTAATGCCTTCTTCTTCTTCTTTAGATGGATATCTAATAAACTTCTCGGAGAGTTCACAAAATCGCAATTGTTTTACAAAAGAGTGTACTGGCCTCACTCGTAGTTCAGGCGACAGTATGATTGTACAAGTTCCAGTTTATCTGAACCGCTACACTATAAAAAAAATTCCTGGTATCTATGTTAAAACACAGGCATCTCCGAAGGTTCATTACTCGAATATGTCGAGTAGAAAAGAAAATAAGCGTATGCCTTATCGGCCTTATTCAGACAAGAAGACACATATTGGCTAGGCGCGTAAAAAGTAAGATTTCTTCTGTAATGAAGACTCAAACGGAATCAACTTTAAAAAACGAGTCCATATTAGCCTGAGAGAATAATTACGTATAGCTCTTTAAAGATACTGATTGGCTTGTTAAATAATGGATCAAGTTTAGGCCTTTGT